ACCCATTCATTGTGAACAGTTTCCGCAGATACTTGACCTCGGCCTTTTTGTCAATTGGTTCGCTGCAGTGGGTTTCTACGCGGCGATATGATGTTCGCACGCAGCTGCGTTTGTGCGTGACGGTATGGTTGCTGAAGTAATTCAGAATATGCGAGGTATTCGTCGCCTTTCTGTAAACCGTTGTATTGAGAGTCCGAAACATCGGGCAAATACAATGCTGGTCCCAGAGAAAGTTTTTCCGTCTTCTATTTAATTACCTGGGCCTCGCATATTTCCCACAATTGAGAATGATTTATTACGTATATAAAATGCAATAAAAACCACACTTTACAATGATAGAGGAATATATTTTCGCTTCTGTATAATTCTGTACACTTCTTTCTTCCTGCCGCTAAAAATTTCCGTTGTTGGTGCAGTATAAAATGTGCATGGACTCTACCGTATCTTTTTTGTTGAGTAACCCAACCGCTGCCGAAGTAATAAAACAAAACATGCTTATTACTACGAAATAAGTAGGCAGTTATGTTAAGTATTTAGAACACTGTTAAACACGAACGTCATTCTTCCTCCCCCTCCCCCTCCCCCACCGCAGATATGCCCTATCTGTGATGAAAAAATGCCTCAGCGTCGGCGCTGGATCCTGGAACTGCACTTGCGCGACAAGCATCCAGGAGTCTCACCGGACTCGCTACTCGGTCCCTCCCCAATGGCCTTGGGCCGGGCAAAACGAGCTCGACGTTCTGCCGAGGAGAGTGATACAAGTGCCGCCGCCGGCCCCAAACCTCCAAAAAGCTCCCGAGGTAAAACAACACCCAGAGAGTGCAATGAGAAGGAGGAGGAGGTGGAGAAGGAGAAGGCGGGTGCGGAAGGAGGGGAAGAAGATCCGGACAACAACACAGACACAATCAATCACACCGAGTCTCGCCCCGCAGTGTCAGTGAGACTGAAGCTCGAGCCATCTACAGACTTCGTGCCGCCACTGGTTGGTGGTGACGATACCCACCAGACGGTGGACCCTCCGGGCCCGCTACCTGGACCTCAGGGCTCAGCTCTGTCCCCGTCTGGCGGGGCGATTTTGCCACCCGCTGGAGACTGAGTTGAAGCCCTGCCGATGGGTGGTGTCCGTCCCATGAGCCGGTGACTGAGTGCCGGAGTTCGCGCGCGCCATAAAGTCACCAAGAGTATTTCACTTTGTTGGTGTTTGCATTCCACCTGGTTTTATTATTACGTTTATTGTTGTAACAGTTACGATCCGACGTACATGGGCCATCAAGCATACACACACACCTGCATAAGCAAGGTGAAACCATTTTGGCATTTCCTCTACTTCTTGTTTATTAATTTGAAACTGCTTTTATCTTCCCTATGAGTCTTCAATGAGTTTCTCGACTGGCCGTTCGTCCGTCATAATTGGATGCTAGACGCGTGGTCGGTGTTTCGAGCTGTTCTGTGGCGTTCGATCAGAAAAACCGTTGTCGACTTGCCGAACGTCTCGCTGATTGTTGGGACTGGCTAACTGCCAGAATGACGAGAACAACGAAAAGCACAAATGCACGAAGCGCAACCAAAACCCCAATCACAAAACCGAGGGGCGCTCCATTATAACTATGACCAAAACGTTCGGTTACCTCTTCTAACGGATCGTGGGATGCAAACTTCTGTCCGTATAAAAACAATGCCTAAAGCAATAAAATATCAATAAAAGCGATAAGTAAACAGAATAACAGTGAACTAACAGCAAGCAACAAACAATAAACAAATCAATAATGAATAATTACAAAAAACATAGAGTAATATGATAATGAAAACAATCGAAAACACGATCAACGGAACAATGACAATAACAAACAAGCAATAAGCAAAGAAAAATAAATAATAAATGAAACAATAATAATCAATAGTTTAATTAAAGTACAGCAATATCATAACTGTAAGAATGTGGATAGAACAATATATAAAAACGACAAGACACGCGAACAGCACGGACGTGCAATAGGGAAGCGTTGCTGCTAGTCATTCTGACGGTGAAAAACGGTGTTTTTTACCGTATTCTACGGCGCATATAGAGGAAAAAGGAACACATCTAGGGGGTGTTAAAGGTCGGACTAAAATTCGACCAATCATTTACTTGCCTTGAATGTTTGGCACATCGGCTGGGCTTCTGATTGGCTGGACAAACCACCAATTGTGTCGGGAGCTGGCGCGACGTCATAGGGCACCCGAGCGTGTAAGCGGATGTTTAGGGTGCCGTCCCCCAACGGTGCGTTGCTGTAGAGGCAATTTAGAGTGAGGTTATTATTATTGCTTTAGGTGAGAGACAGATAATGGATGTGAGAAAGTCTCAAGATAGGCGGTCACACGACGTAAACAAATGACAAGAGCAATTTCTTTGGATGCGGGGTCTACCGTATTGACTTTGAAGACTACATTGGGCTAGAGGTGCCGAGTTCTGACAGCCGATGTCGTGTTGCAGCTTTGAGAATAGATGTGACAGTTGTGCAGATAGAAGAACGCTCTCTTGGGTCAGCGGCATTTGGCGAGATATTTGCGCACGCATGCGCGCAATATAGGTTTCATTTTCAACACAGGGAAAGATAGGTAATATTTGGTCAACAAGCACCGGGGTTGCGACATGAGTAATCATATAAACAAATATTACTTAAAAATTATAAGTAGTATTATAATAGTAATAACTACTTAGGTAAGGTATTCCAAGAATAATTTCCGCATGCCCAGCCTGGCGCTAGTCACATATATTTTCTGTGGATGACCGCACAGGTGAATTGAAGCTGCTAACTCGAAGATGTCTTCGGGTACTAGAGAGCAGTCGTGATTGCGTGTGATGCGGACACCTTTTATAAGGTCAGCCCTTAGCTGCATTAGGTAATCGCGTTTTGCGGGGTAGTGAGCTCTGCCCCGTTATGAGTTTGGTTGTTTGGCGGTGAACTTGTTCGAGGGGGCTGGGGTCCCAGTCTCGGATAGCGAACTGTTGTTGTGGCCACAGAAAATTTCAGGAGAATTTAGCGAAGTAGTCTGCATGGAGCAATATAGTCGCGATCCACGCACCCAATTCCTTCTGGGTGTCCACTCCCTGCTGTGGTATGCCATTCAGGGGGTTGAACATACCGTTCGTCGATGTGATTCCACCAATTCGAAAGTTTTACGGCAAAAGTAAGTCATTTTACAATTACTCGGGTCGGTTAAAGTTTGTCTGCAAACGTTTTTCGTAAATTTCATATTGGACTGTACTCCAGACTTTGGTATCATTAGCTACCATGGCGACAGCACAATTTAGCGTATATAATGAACAGAGTAGGGTCGAGAACGGAGGCTTGGGGAACACCACTTTCAACCGCGACCTCCGCCGACTGGACAGTGGGTTAGAGAGTTGAATTGTTAACTAACAAGGTCGCGGGTTCAGATCTCCGGGAATAGCCACTCTTAGGGTTTGGTATGGCTGGCTGATGATGGCTACTTAACCAGAAATGGCCATTCCGGTCTCCCTTGTCCTGGTTTGTAGTGTATTTCTGGCTATACTAAATGCTAGCCGTTGTATATATTTGCGGTGTGGGAGCCAAAAGGAGCATATCGAGAGATTGCCTGTATCCCCTCCTAACCTATACACATGTCACCGTTCCTGCACCATGAAGCTGTAGACCATTCGATAAACATAGTTGGAATGAGACCTCGACCTGTATAGCGCGGAAACGCGCCTCGGTAGCGCAGCTGGTTAGCGCGTCAGTCTCATAATCTGAAGGTCGTGAGTTCGAACCTCACCCGGGGCACGGCTTTTGTAGCTTGGTGCCTTCAACCGCAAAATTCTGCCCTCCGACATGGCAGACTGTCAAGCCATCACTGCACCAACTACGACCCCCATCGGTGGTTACGGAGTGCAATCGCGTGGTCACTATGACTTATGAATGATGCATAATCTGTTCATATACCACTTTACACCTATTAAACTGT